TAAAAGAATAATTTTCCAATTAATGGGATTTTGAATATTGGGGCACTGATGTAATTTTTTGTTTGTTCTATCCTCCTTAAATGACTGTTTAAACGTCTCCTTCTCCCAGCTGTGCCCTTACCTCTAATGAACACTGCTTCATCATGAACTTGCATCCTTACTTAAACTACGAAAGACGTTCCACGGTTCTTTTTGCAGCACTGTGAAAAGCCAGTTCCATATTTTAATAACTCCCACTGCAAATACATCTTCTCCTCATAAATAACACTGCCTTCTAAAGGCTTTTATCTCAAGACGAGAGGAAATATGTGTTTATATCCCATGTTTTTATATTCCAGGTTTCTAATGCTTATGAAAGACTGTGATGACTTCTAAGATTCATGAGACTTGGGAAAATAATGGTGTTTATGATTCTGGCTGTATAGCTGGTAGGTTACAAGCTGAATGTTGTAAGAATGTTGAGACTGTCTCAACATTATGGTTTATGTTATTCGGGTGGCAAAAAATAACATTTATTTAATGATCATATAATGCAAAAAATAATGGAGGAAAAATAAATAAAATTGTATATAAAATGAAGACATAAAGATAGCTGGCTCCATTAAATAAAGATTAAAGCTATTAAACTGGAGATGAACAGCTGAAAAAAAAAAGATCCTAACAACTACTTATTTACTTACAATGTAGTTAAATTATTGCCAGAAAAAACAGAAGAAATATTCAAATATGTGAATATGAGAATTTTTAATGTATTTGTGTAAAAGTAACATAATTTTCATATGGAAAAAAGTAATATACTTTCAAAATGAGTAAATTATTTTAGTAGCACTCAGTATTTTTCTAAATCCTTGAACCAAAAGTAGGTTAGATTATTTTTAAAGCCTACACTGTTATTATTTTTTAAATAATTATTTTATTTAACTTTATTTATTATTATTATCATTATTATTTTCTGGTTTGACCAGAGAGACACAGAGAGAGAGAGGAAGTAAGAAAGCAAGTCGCCAGGTCTGAGACTTGAACCGTGGTCACCATGTGGGAGTCCAGCACCTCTAACCACCATGCCACTTGCCAGCCCCACATTGTTATTATTAATGAAATAAAACAAGGTGGTTATTTATGAATTGCATTCTTAAATTTAGATTTTGAAACGTAGAAAATTCCATGAGTGTTGCCCAGGAAATATGCTTAAAGGTTGATATAGACCATCTAATTTAATTCTTACAAATAAAAAGGCCAATTCTTAGAGAGGCTACTGAGCTATAATTAAGGTCAAGAACACCTTAACCACTCTAATAATGACCAGCATTTTATTTTAGGATTTTCAGATATTGTTCTCTGACATGTTTTAAAATGTTAGTTATTAATGAAAAATAAACTTGAATATGAGCAAGTAAATGAGGATGTAACCAGAATTTCTTCCACATAGGAATAAATAAAGTCCCATAAAAATATATTGCTGAATATAACACAGTTTATGTATCAATCAAATCAGAAAAATAGATAGCAGAGGACATTGAAAAGTACATGGAAAAATGGAAAAATTCTTCCAACCACTCTCTTATTTTTAGCTTCTGATTTCCATTGTTCCATAAAGACATAAAGATAAATGGTTCCATTAAATAAAGGTTAACGCTATTAAACTGGAGATGAACAGGAGGAAAAAAATGATCCTTACTTGTACAGGATCAATATTTTTAGCCTTCACCAATCAGTAAGATTACACAGTATTTTTCTTGAGGTCAATACATACTGTATTCATGTACTGAAAATTAACAGTGTGCCCATAAATACATATAACTATTATATGTCAACTAAAAATTCTAATAAAAAAATTTAGGTATCAAGTACTCAATCACATTGAGTTAAGAATGGAATAATAAAGTACTTTGTAATTGGGAGATTACAATCAATTTTCAATACATATCCTGCACAGCAACAATTAAGAAAGTAACTTGAGCAATTTTTTTCTTCCTTTTTTTTACTTCTAACAGGACTGTGAAATTTGCTGCAACAGTACAATTTCTTTGATCTTTCTACTCTAAGTCAGTATGTAAAATTAATGAAAATTGTGTCGTTGTTATTTAAAAGAGAAGTCAAAATTGTTTTGGAATAATTGCTTTAGCTTTTACTAAAACTCAACTAAGATTTATTCTTTTGCATGGGAGCCATGTCACTACTTTTAACTGAAAACAACTAGCCAATCTAAAAATGCATTCAATGAATATGTTAATTCAGAAAGCTGGACCACATAATTAGAAACCTTTATTTTTCACTGAATTGTACACAATTGTTCTGAATTGAATACAAAACAGTTAAAATGCATGTTTATTGATCTAAAATTTAAAGAAATTTCAATAGTTAATAGTCTCAAATTTCCACAATGTTGGGATTTTACTTTCATGACATTTTTAAAGCACTTTTTCAGAGATCATTGGAACTGATTGAAATAGAAACAGAAGAAATGAAAATCAAATAGTTCATTCATTTACTCTCCTTTCATTTGCTCATTCTCTTAGTTTATGATAATGATTACTTTTTCTATTTATATTAATATTTAATATCAGTTAAATGTGAGAAGATGAACATTTAGTATTTTTTTACATTGGCCCACCATAATTTATTGACATATTGAAGTTTTAATCTTTTTCACTATATCTAGAAAATTCTTATATACAATAAGAAAAAAAATCATATTTTAAAAGATGTCTAAATTATATTAGTATAATGACATTATTTATTAATAATTAAGTTATTATTAAAAGTAGATGAAATTGGGCCAGCTGACAGAGATAGTTAAGGTGGCTGAATCCCATATGGCCGACTGCACAGTTTAAATCCTGGATTGGTGGCTTGAAAAACATTCTAGGTGTGTCCATGTGTGTGCCCAAAATACTGAAAGGAGAAATGGAGGAGAAAGTATTGCCGTGTGATCATACTCCATGAGAGGTGCTTTCTCACTCTATCTTGTGAGCTCACATGCCCTTGAACAAATTAAAAAAAAAAAAAAGACGATTTAATCTAATGCACAAAATGAGGATACTTCAGTGATTTAATATAATAAAAGAACTCATATATTTTTGTGTGGAAAAAAGCAATTAAAAAAAAACCTTATTTACTTCTTTCATGAGTGAGAAAGACAGAGAGAAAGAAGCAGCAAGCAACTCCAACAGGATCCATATGCTATGACCCAGCCTCCATTTCTGCCAGCTCTAGATCATGGGCAGGCAAGTGCCCAAAGTGTTCAAGGAGGATTGGAGATTTGAAACTGGACCCTGCTCGTATATTCACCCTTGCAGAGCATTGCATTTTTCCACTGCACTTCCATCCTGCACCTAAGAAAGACAATTAAACTGAAAAAAAGAAATTATTTTGGTGGCATACAGACTTTTCATAAATACTTGCTCTAAAATTATATTAGTTTTGGAGCTGGCAGTTGGCATGGTGATTGAGGCTCTGGGCTCCCACATGGCCAACTATGGCTTGAGTCCTGGACCTAGCTACTTGCTTTTTCACTCTCCCTTTCTCTCTGTCTCTCTGTCTCTCTCTCTCATCAAAATTGAAGATTAATAATAATAAATAAAATTTAAAATAAATAAATCTTTAGAAAATTAAATATTTTTTATTTAAATAATTTTTATCTGATCTAAATTTTTAATAACCTGTATAATTTTTCAGATAATTCATCTAAAATGTGTGCAAAGGCTTTATTAGATGATGGGAGAAATAAACTCTTATCTGGTCACAAAGTTAGCATTCATTTAGTCAGACTAATTTTTATTTATTTTGTGTCACATGTTGGGCCATTTTGTAAAGATATTATCACATAGTAAATAAATTTTGTAGAAACTGGGAAGAACTATGAATGGAAAAAGTAATTGTAAAAAATAATTTTGAGTTTTTAAAATATCTTTATTTTTTTCTATTATCAAATAGTAGCTTTGTTCCAGTAGCATGAAAAAAATGAAAGGAATGTCATTCTATCTTTTAAAATCATTCTATCTTTTACAGGCATTCTTATGAAATCATAAAATAACAAAAGTGAGAATAATTGTCATAGATTGCTGCTTATGAATAGTTTCAAGGAATTAAACAATTAATAAGCAAGCAGTTTATCCCCTCAGCAGCTATTAAATGAATCTCCTGAAATCATTATATTAAATTATTAATTAAATTCAAGACTTCACAATAGTTTAACAATAATTGCATATTTTTGGTTTAAAAAGCATCTTTGAGATTTCAACTCTTGCTTTTACTATATATGCCTTATGTAGTAGAGCATAGAAACTTAATGAAATCTATATATTATACATATAATATATATATTCTATATATGTATATATATATGCATTATGTCATTCCTTGTGTAGTATTCAGATAGGTATATTATTATGTAGGTATGTGATAGTATAATTCAACTTGTGCTTGTTAAAACTACGAGGTTGCTCTTTTATTTACTCATTTTTCTTTACATTTGAGGTTATCCTTTTCTTTCTTTTTTTAATTGCCAGAGGATGTGCACAGTTGCTAGAGAGAGAGATAGGGAGAGAGAGAAAGCACCCCCTCCACACACACACACACACACACACACACACACACATGGCATGGTCACACTGCAATCCCTTATCCATTTTCCCTCCTTTCAGGATTTTAGTTTCAAGATTTTAGGCACACACAACATGCATACAGTATGTTTTACGAGTCACTGGCATCAGGATTTGAACAGTGGTCAACTATGTGGGATCCAGTTCTCTTACCCACAAAGCTATGGGCTGACATAGAGGTTTTCTTTTTCCAGTGACATACAATAGCAATAATTAAGTGATTCTAAGAAGAAAAATGTTTACCACAAGGGTCTTTAGTTAAGTTCTAAGTGATAATCTTCTATTGAACTATTAGGTGATATTGCAAGTTCTTTATATATAGTTATACAAATACTATATTTTTCAAGCTCTGTAATTTTGTTGCTTTTAGGATTATAGAGCAGAGTCTACAAATCAATGGAGGTATTCAACCATTCCAGGGTATCTGAATTCGTGTTACTTGGACTTACTGATTCCCCTGATCTCCAGATATTCTTCTTTGTGGTGTTTTCCATTTTCTATTTATTGACCATGTTGGGCAACTCCCTGATTTTGCTCACAGTCATATCTACCTCACACCTCCACTCCCCCATGTATTTCCTGCTCAGCAACCTGTCTCTCATTGACATGTGTTTGTCCTCTTTTGCCACACCAAAGATGATCATGGACTTCTTTGCTCAGCGCAAAACCATCTCCTTTGAGGGCTGTATTTCTCAGATTTTTTTCTTGCACCTCTTCACTGGGACTGAGATTGTGCTGCTGATCTCCATGTCTTTTGACAGGTATATTGCCATATGTAAACCTCTCCATTATTCAACCGTTATGAGCCAAAGAGTGTGCTTTGGGCTTGTGGTAACTTCTTGGACAGTGGGCTTCCTGCATACATTGAGCCAGTTAGCTTTTACCCTTTATTTACCCTTCTGTGGTCCCAATGTTATAGATAGTTTCTTCTGTGACCTTCCTTTGGTCATCCAGCTGGCTTGTATAGATGTATATGTTCTTGGAATTTTCATGATCTCAACCAGTGGTGTGATTGCTCTTTTAAGTTTTCTGCTTTTGCTTAGCTCCTACATCACTGTTCTTGTCACCATCAAGGACCACTCATCCACAGGGTCATCTAAAGCCCTTTCGACCTGCACTGCACATTTCATAGTTGTGCTGATGTTCTTTGGGCCCTGCATCTTTATTTACATGTGGCCTTTCACAAACTTCTTGGTGGATAAAATTCTCTCTGTCTTTTATACCATCTTTACCCCACTTCTGAATCCACTTATCTATACTTTGAGAAACCAGGAAGTAAAAACAGCTGTAAAGAAAAAACTATATACTCAATATTTCAATCTTGGGAAAACCACACCACAATACCCAATGCAATGAACAGAGATCTCCTCTCTAAGATGTAGAATCTCCAGTTTTGTTGTAAGAAGAATAGAAAAATAAATTTACATTCTGCATTTCAAGTCATTTGGTCTAAATTCTTGAAAATGAGAAGCTAGGATTAAGAGATGTACAATATCTTGCCTAAAAGTTAATAGTGTTCTCAGGTTTCCTGTGATCATTGATGTACTTGCAAATATGTAGAAATTTAAAGGTTGTGTTTCATGGAAAAACACACATGTCATCCAAATTGTGAACATAAATTTAGGGCACCATAGGTAGGCCTCTGGATTCTGTAAACATAGATTAAGAATACCGAGAGAAGCCTGAGATAAAATATTGTTCTCTTATCTTATTATCAGAACACTCTCACTCTGCTCCCCAGCCTTCTGGGAGTTTGATGGAGTCTACTTCAATTTAGAACTTTGATTAGAAGTGCTGAGTGTAACAGGTTTTTTCCATAAGATCAGAAATACTTTCTTGGGAAAATTGATATTGTGAAGAGAATCTTTTAAAAAATGTTGAACAATCTTAATTCAGGAAGTTCAATTGTTTAAATATAAGAGAACAGTTTAGAGGATCTGAAATTTAACAGTACAGCTTCTTAACTAGTGAACATATCATTATCATACTTGATAATTAGGATAGCAAATAATAAAATAACAATTTTTAAAGTTGGACGAACCATAGAAATGAAACTAACCAAATCTAATTGGTGTCCAAAACCTAGCTGAAAATTATAAATATAATGAGTTAATTGAGTACCAAGACTTAAAGTTTGGTAAATTAATTATCAAATTCAAAACAAAATTTTCATTTCTAAAATGAAAAATTTCAAAATATTGTAAGTCTTGGTATAACTTTTATGTCTAATTCGAAATATTATATGGTCAGTGGGAAGAAAAAAATTTTTAAAATTAAAAATGCATAAATCATGTATAATATGATTCTCCTTCATTTGCTATATTAGTGATCATGTTAAATAGATTTTTCTTTATTACAAGGAAATTTTTGTAAATCAGTTGGCTAACCGTTTTTATAACAGCTAAGGAACTGAAGGTACATAAAATTTATAGAACTAATTCAAGGCTAAACTAGTTAGTTCATTGTAAGAGGCAAGGAAGATTGCTACAGACACACAAGAACCTCAAAATCAATTCTTGTATCCATCATTTACTAGCTGTGCTATCCTGGGAGATTCACTTTATTTCTATCCTTTTTTATGTTTAATATGAGGTTTATAAAAAGTACATTAAATGTTTGATCTGACTCTTTTATGGATAGTAGACAGAATGAATTCTAAAAATGTCATTTCCCTTTCCCGTGG